TTTTCTGATTTTCTACCACAAAGTCAACCATTTATATGGCTTAAAAGGGAAAATTATTCCATTTGATATCAAGACAATCCACACACCAAATTTTGTTTTCATCTTTCAGCAAAATGGTTAGCTGAAAATGATCCAGCAAGCTGAAACAACAGCAATCAACTTTTTAATTACTGAAAACCCAGTAAATCAGTTTTTTTGCTGGAAACCAGCAAATCATAAATTGTCAAAAAGACTTGTGATTTTCTCATTAGTTTGACGAGCGCTTACAAACAAAATTCTCCAAAAATGTATTGTTTTAAGAATTCCTGGTTTCTGATTGAAGAAGTTCACTATTGTTCGTAGCAATAAAGGTAAGACGGGAATACATTGAAGGAAATATTATCTCTTAGCAGGTTGTGTTTAATTTTAGGTTATTCCGGTGGAAAAGATTCTTTCGGAAAAATTATCATCCGGTGCTAGTGGAGATGATCTTGGATATATTTGAACGTTAAGTGTTTAAGGGTAGATATGAACTGAATAAAATAGTTTTTAAATGAGTTCTCATTCTTTTTGCATTATTTTGTTTAATAAAGTGAGAAAAACGTGCGTTTATAATTGCTGAACGATCAGCAATATTTCCACCATAATTTTCAGAAAAATTGCTGGTTTTCCAGCAAACTTCTGTCAAAAAAGATTTGCTGGAAAACCAGCAAAATTTATTTTGCTGGAAGGATTGCTGGCTTTCCAGCTCGGCAAAATCCAGCAAAATTTTGCTGGTTTCCAGCAATAAAAAATGAGTGCGCAGTTACGCCATTATTGCAGTTCACACTTAAATTGTGACGTTTCAGATGTTGGTTTCAATAACATGGCGGCATATCAGCCAGCTGAAATCACAACTCTCCTGACCGACGCTTAGCTTGGTATAAAGAGAGAGAATACGAGCTTAGTATAAAAGTATAATATTATTATACATCAGAATGTATTTTCTGCAAGTATACAAGCCTTGTTTAAACTTGGTTTGTTTGTTTCCAGCAGTTGTCATTAAGATTTTGTTTTCTTTTTCAAATGATTATAAAACGCAGTTTGAGGAAACATCGAAAGCTGTTTATTTTGATCCTTTAATACGTATAATTGAGAATACTAACAAATAAACAGGCAGCCACTGTCCTAATAAAACTACCCGAAAAAAAAATAACAACAAAAATACATTAAAAAACAATGTAACAATAAGACGAAAATTATTGTCTTAACAATGATTTATATTATTACGTCTACAATAAAATTACCTTGATTTATGTTGTACAAAACAATAAATTCCATGGTAAATGGAAAATTTACAATAAAAAAGGGGGGTTGTTAAGTATCTTAACAGTGAAATTTTCGTGATTTTCCCATATATTTTTTTTCAATAACATTATATATTATTGTTATTTTACTGTTGGTTGGCGAATTTATTGATTAAAAAAAATAACAGTGTACTTTACAGTGTATGTGTTGGCTTGACAGATCTACTTTATCGACTTTAAAAATAAATCGAAAAAATAAAACATTTATGTTGGTATGTCTGTTACGGGTGGTCCTTTTTTTTACTGGTTATGGATCGAGATTCGATCCGGAACTTGTGAGAAATGCAGGCCAGCTCCTCTGCGCTCGATATCCCTAGGTCACGTCTCCTTGGTGGTTGAGCGTCGTTGATAAGTTAATGCATTCGACTGGAGAGAATCGCCCATGAAATATGCTTCCACCTGAGAGTTCCTTCCTGACATCTTCAAGTGGTGGAATTTTTTATTATTATTGTATGATTATTGACTGCACGGAAAAGGTCTCCATTAAGCTTTAGAGAGGGTCTAGGATAAGATATGAGCGGACGCGGACTACCTGGTTTTGAGCCAAACGAACTGTCAAAGCTAGAGCCATACGAGCAGCGCCTATCTTAATTACATTGGCAGTGTTGCTGACCCTCTCATAGTCTGCATGCTTCAATCAGATTTATTTTTATTGTTCGTGAAGTAGCCCACAATCAGTGTTCACTCGGCTGTCGACAAAAGCAGGCCACTCTCGATGTGTGTCACGCGATCGTCTGTTTTCTGGGTAGCAACCATTGTGTGGTCCCCCTCATTGTTCATTTATCAGCAGTTCTTTCGGTCGATGCCGCGTCGACTTTGGAAAGCAACCGTTTAGTGATGAGTGTGTGAGTGCTGACCACGTTTTGCGTCTATTGCTGCAATGGAAGTTCTCTGACCCTCGTTGGCGTAACTGCCATACAATGAAACCTCTGGAAGCGGCTCCAGTTCTGATGGAGGAGGCTTTTTGGATAGCGGAAGATAAAGTGTTTATTGTGTTGTACCTTTTGACTATTGTTTTAAGATGTATTGTATAGTGACCAAGAATCCTCGGCTCTGTGAAGTTAATTCGTTTGAGCCTTATCAAATAAATCAATAAACAAGTAACCCACAATGAAAATACACCAATATTTAATGTAACAACAATTTTTATTGTAATAGAGTTGTTCATTATTGTTCATGATCGAATCATGTTAACAATAAAATAAATGAAAAATACGATAAAAATCATTGTAACAACATATTATCAACAATCAATACGAAACTAACGATTTTAAATTGGCTCACCACTTTAGTAGCCTATTGGTCCCAAGCAAACGATTAACGTACCCTATTCTAGTTGAAATTCTATTACTACACTATGTTTGTTTTGATTCGCTATGAAAGTTTGACAGATAACATCAGGGGTGTGTGGATTCATGCAGAACATGCAGGGGTGAGTGAAATAGCTTGGGACTGCTTGGGACCGTTGTTCTGGTACTGAGTGAGCCAAAAATAATAATGATTTTCTTCGGGACCCAGTGCCCTAATAAAAATGGTATGGTTAATTTGCTTAACGACGTGTTCGGGGTATCATCCAAACCATTTGTGGTATTGTTCAATGATTTGGGTTATCGTTCGTTTGTGGTAATTTTTTATTAGGGTGGTCTTAGAGTTACCTCTATGATATTATTATGAACATTCATTGTACAGCTAGGTAGCAGTTTTGCCGTTTTCGGAAGAGTACAACATTATAACAATCATTTTTACTGTCGACAATAAATATTAATGTTAGAGCATTGTTTCCACTGAAAATTTCACTGTAATTTTTTTTTCGGGTAACCATAAAAGAGAGCTTAACGACGTGTTCGGGGTATCATCCAAACCATTTGTAGCATAGTTTACCCATCCGGGATACAGTTCGTTTATGGTATTTGTTTATTAGGGCGTGTGGTAGAGCAAGCAAATTTCTTCTCAAATCTGTTGGGGTTGCTGCGGTTGCTGTTATTTTCAAGCTGAGGGGCTGCAGCTATACAACAGTGGCTAATAACGCGTTAATATGCCTTGCTCGGCTGGTTTCAAATACACGCCTACGGAACAAACCTTGAAGAAAACCTACCGCTATCTTTACATTGTGTATGGTCACTTGTCGCTACTGCCGTTGACTGCATCGCCGGATGCATTGCTACCAACAATCAATACGAAACTAACGATTTAAAATTGGCTCACTACTTGACTAGCCTATTGTTCCCAAGCAAACGATTAACGTACCCCATTCTAGTCGAAATTCTAGTACTACGCAATGTTTGTTTTGATTCGCTATGAAAGTTTGACAGATAAAATGAGGGGTTATTGGTTTTTCCTATGTTTCGAGGGGTGATTCGACAAGCTTGGGACCGAAGATAGTACCAGAGGTGAGCCAAAAAGTTGAGCACGTTATTTCGGGACCTTCTAGTCTTAGAGTTACCTCTATGTTGCTACTGTGGATCGTGGACGCTCTGACATTCATCATTGGCGACTGTGACTTGCTGGTTCCCGGAACTAGGGTTCTGGAAGATCCTGCGATTTCGTTGCCGGTATACCTAAGCCTGCCAACAGGATTCACGGAACAAAACTTGCGTTGCTTTGTATTTCATCATAGCGGACTATGCTGACCACATGAATACTGACGGAAATTCTCGAAAAACTTTTGTTATATTATTAGCATAATAAATATAAAATAGCGAAATTTTCTCTCCAAATCACATACCTTCGACAAAAAAAAAAGAAAGTTGAACGATCACAAGGGCCATTGCGTTTGGTTTGACTTTCGATTTGTTTACCTTTGTATACATTAGATTTCCCCATCGTTATTCGGACTTAGTATAATTTTAAGAAAAACTTTAAACCGATCAAAGTATAAACATTGCATAGAGATTTTCACGTCCGGTTGTGAATATCCGAGGAAAATACATAACAAATCGATGTCAAACTCATTTTGACAGATCTACTTTCATACATTTTTTAGGTTAGCCAGAGGAAAATAATAAACAACTTTACACGGCGTTGCTCCCACTAGTGTGCGAGCGTTAAACGTCACTAATCTCTACACGGTAAGAAAAAAGTACCCAACGGCCAGTTCACTTTTACCTACTTTTGACTAGTTTGTCTCATTTTCTCCTTCTAATGTTGTCAAAAAAGAAGGAGCGAAACCACCCAACAGGGGTAGTAAAGTGTGGGAACCCAACGTTGAGTATAATCATATTTACCTACTGTTGGGTACAACTAACTTACTTTTGGTTAAAAAGCTAGTGGAAAATTCCATACGAACTGTACACAAGTAAAGGAAAATTACATTGACCCCCCTAATAAAAAATAACCATAAACGAACGACAACCCAAATCATTGAACTATTCCACAAATGGTTTGGATGATACCCAGAACACGTCGTTAAGCAAATTAACCATACAATTTTTATTAGGGCCGCTTCACCTACTTTTGGGTTCCTGCACTATAGTGCCGAGATGAGTGAAAAGAACTTTATTTTGGGTACTTTTTTCTAACCGTGTATAACCATAAAATGATTTAATTTTAATCAATTTTAGTATTGTAATGTTTTTGAGTGTAGGTATAAACATCAACATCTGATTATTTGACAGTAGTTGAGCTTTGCGAAAGAACGGCGCGATTGTTTGTAGTTCAGGAATAATCATCTACCACAGCATACCGAGGAATTCCAGCTCGATGTGAAAAAATTGTGCAAACATTTCGAAAAATGTCCTCGACGCTTCTGATGCCGGAATGTTGCCGCTGTTGTTTGGTCGAGGAAAACGACATGATCTACGTGTTCGACATACTGGATGAGTTTGACAGTAAGATTTGCGATCTGATAGCAACCTGCGGGGGTGTTGCGGTGAGTGTTTTGCATTTGCTGTCTAGGTTGAAATTTAACTTTTCTTTCCAATAGATTACAGAGGATGATATCTATTCGAAAAATATCTGCGGGAACTGTTTGAACGATTTAGCCAATGCGGCCCGATTCCGGGAACGGTGCTTAAGCACCACACTCATTTTACAGAACACGACTATCGAGACGAAGGAAGAGCTTCACCTGCTTAACGAAGATGATGACCCGAAGGGTAGCTCTGGGGTTCCAGAGGATGAATTTATAGAGGAGATAATCGTCGAGCAGGTTGAGGACGTGGATGCGGAAGATGTGCTGAGGTTATCCGAGATTCAGGATACGAACGAAGAAAATCAATCGGACATCCAGTACATCATCGCCGAGGAGCCGACCGAGTCGGAGTTGCGAGATTTTGATTACGATAATTTAATCAGCGAGCAAAATGACTTCGATGAGGAACATATGGAGACCATTTGCTTTCAGGAGCTGGATAAAAATGTCGAAGGTGCCGTCGAAGCATCGATTTTAAAGCCTGTACAAAAGGAGATAAAGTTTACCCTTCCTAAGCCCGTCCAGCTGAACTTTGTGTGTCCACACTGCGGAGCGGGATTTGCTCTGCAGAAAAATCTTGCCAGGCATCTCGTGATGCATCAAAACTATGCCTGTGATATATGCTCGGTGGTGTTTGATAGGTTGGTCAATGGGATTTGTAAATTACCGTCAGTCTAAACACCAATTTCGATTTCAGTGATAAGAACCTCGCTTTTCATCGGTTATCACACTCGAACGATCATCCAGACGAGCCAACGGAGCATTCAGATCTGTACCCCGAACCAAAGACTGATAAACTGCTGAACCCGAAAAAGAATCACCGTTGCACGTATTGTGACAAGGCGTTCGTTTCCAATTCGGCGCTGGTCGCTCACGTACGGGTGCATACGCAGGAAAAGCCGTTCCCTTGTAACTACTGCCCCAAGCGGTTTCGAACGGTTGGGGCGCAAGAACTGCACGAGCGACGTCACAATGGAGTAAAACCCTACAAGTGTGATCTGTGTGGAAGGGGATTCGCCGAGAGTAGTAATCTCAAGGTCCATCGTCGTACGCACACTCAGGAAAAACCACATGTCTGCACCGTTTGCAATCGTGCCTTTGCCCGGGTCTTTCTGCTGCAGATTCATCAACGAACGCACACAGGGGATCGACCGTTTCCGTGCGAGGATTGCGGAAAGTCATTTTCGCAGCAGGGAGACTTGGCCGCCCACAGACGTATCCACACTGGCGAACGACCGCACAGATGCGATATCTGCGGGAAAGGATTTATCAAGAGCAGTGGTCTCACACAGCATCGTAAAAAACATGAACTGCAAGGAGAGGACATCCGGATGGTGCTGGTCGATACGAAGCACGATTCGTCGAACGTGCTATCCTCAACGGAAAGCATTCTCACGGAGAAAGAGGGAATTTTGGAAGGCTACGATTTGGTGCAGTGCAACCAAATTGACCCGGAGGAAGGTATAGATGAGTTGATGATTGAAGGTGTGGTGGTAAACAGTTAATTATAGAAGTGTATAACTAGTTCAATTCATTCGGAGTGTTTCAGAGCCATTGAAAGAACAACTTTATCAAATAAATGTGCAGAAATGCATTTATACTAGCAAATTTAAAACAAACTAAAGCAAAAATCAAACTTAAATCAAGTGGTTAAAAGGACAAAATCAAAGAATGCCGTACCAATTCTTTCTTGACAATCTGGGAACGTGTCAAACGGTTAGCTGTTATGCTAACAGTTGTTATTGTACTTCTGAGGTATTATAGTTGACATGGTATTGGGTATTATTTGTTCGAGAATGACTTACCTGCCTCGGTCGCTTAATACTTGTATTTGAAGTTCATCTTGAACAGATACTGGCACTGGACTTGGGCCACCTCGTATACAATGTATTCGTTGTACAGAAGCGATGTCATCAACTTTTTATCCTGCACGATGCCCTTCCCCAGTGGGATCTCTACACCGTCCGGACGTACGTGGGCTTCCTTTGGATTCGGTTGAGTGCGTCCGACACCTTTTGTGCTGTGCTTATCTGCAGGCAGCTTGGTAACGTAGTGGGCCTGATTATACTCGAGCATGTCTCCCAGAGCGACTTCACACAACATCATAAGACCGGTCGAGTTCGATGGACTAGTGCAACAGTAGTTGGCCGACTTGGAAACCATATCAGCAAAGTAGATACCCTTGCCGAACATATAACCTGTGACTGGTGCTTCCGGAGGAGCAATCTTCAAACCATGAGACAGGATACCCACAAAATTGGTAAGGCGCGAACCGTGCCACAAAAGCTTGCGGTTATGCAGTTTTTTAAACGGTTTGTACCGTCGGTCTTCGCCCTTGCGTTTGATTTTGAAGATTTCACCGATTTCCAGCTCATAGGCCGTATGCGTCTCTGCATGAGTGTTCTTGACATACCGTTCCAGGATTTTAAACTCTTCCGAATCGCGCTTGAGTGTTTCCATGTCCGTCTTGAGCTGTTCGTAGTGGCCATCCAACGGGTTCTTCTCAACATCCGTGTTGGCATTCATTAAACTGTAAGCAATTTCAATCTCCGTCAAGCTGTCCAGCATTGCTTGCTTTTCGGTGATTTGCTCAACCGTATCCAAAACCGGCGGAGTTTCGACACCAAAGCTGTGCGGAATCAGAGTGTAGAACCGATTAGAAGCATCAATAAACTGCGGATTGCTACCACCGTTAACGATCAAATTTGAAATTTCCGTCAAGACCTTCATTGCCGATTGCAACTGCTTTTGGGAGAGTTTTCCCAGCGGCATCTTCTCCATGTCCAGCTCAAATTCCAACATCACCTTCTTCATAGCATCCACATCGAACAACATTCGCACCAAATCTTGTACCGCTGGTTCCAGCTTGGATTTGATGTCGTTATTCTCGACGAGTGTCTTCGTCTCCTCATCACCGTAATCAATATCCACCGGATAGTACATTCCGGAGTGCTTGCGAAACACCCCATGGCGGTATTCGTCCCAGCTGTTGCCGCTTTTTTCTTGGAAGTGATGCTCAAACAAGCCCATCGCATCCAACAATGTGCTGCAGCTTTCCACCTTGTTTCCACCAATAGTCGTACCAATGCGTCCCCACGAGCGGAAGAACCAGAATCTGTAAGAAAACGAAAGATTTTTATTTTTTCAATTTCCCCTAAAAACTCCCCACTAATTAAATCTATACCCACTTGTTACCCTTGTCAGCAACTAGAACCTGCATTTTGAAGTACGAGTTCTTATCCGCCTGGATGTCCACCTTATTCAGCACACTGTTATACACCTCCTTGTGTTTCTTGTACACGTGAGCCACATCATCCAGGCCGGAATCGGGGTCAACAGCCAAGCCACCCTTCAGCTTGAGTGTTATCTTTGATGGCACTGATTTCGTGTAGATGCTCTTCTTCGATTTGGACTTCTCCTCGTCCTGTGGGATTCGAGTGTGCGGATCCGAACCCCAATCACAGATCGATTTGCTAGTAATGTATGACAGTGCACCGCCACCCTTTGCATCTTCCAGGAAATCTTCCGGGACCACCTGAATCTGCAGATCCTTGGCCTCCTGCATACGACTACCCAACTTTTCAACTTCATCCGGAGTGGAAATGATAGCAGCCGTTGTATTGGTAATCTTGGTGCTAACTTTACCACCTAGCCTTTGGATTTTCTCCTTGAGCTTGTCCTTGGGAGTCGCCGTCTTGCCAAGGATAACAAACTGTAGCTCATAAAGCGGAGGCTTTTCGCGCTTGATTTTCGGTTCCAGTGTCTCCTCTTTCTTCACCTTTTTCATGCTAGTACTAAGACTAGGTGGAACGTACTTGATGACCCTGTCACTCACGACCGACTTGTATTTATCCAAGAATGAGAATGCTTTTTTGATTTCGGATGGTACCTTTGTTGGAACTCGTGGAGGCTTCTGATCCGTATTCAAGCATTTAACCCACTCGGTAAGATTGCCTTCGCACATGTAAGCAGACTTTTGCAGAACATATTGTCCTTTACATTTCGGACATGGCTTAAGCGCCCCAAAGGTCAAAATGTCACAGACGCGCTCCAGACAGGCGTCGTATCCTTCCGGAATAGCTTGACCATTACGACTCAACATACTGATCAGATCATGTTTCTTCATCTCCAGAACCTTGATCTTGTCACGGATTTTGAAGAATGCTTTCTGCTGTTGAGCGTACAGCTTCTCATCGATTGCCTCCTGGGCCGAATCGGCTTCATCCTTCGGCTCGGACTTGACTTTCTTCTCCGGCACTTCCTCCTGCTTGATCGCCGGAAGCAATTGCTTAACCTTCGCCTGGTCTTCCTTCTTAAGGGAGCTAAATCCAGGTAGTACCTCACCTTTCTCGAAATAGCCCAACTCAGAACGCAACTGTAAATAGTCATCATTATTATTATTAGCCTCTATCCTCTACCCAAAACCGACGTACCTTCGCGAAACACTCCGCATGATGCCACATCGCCTGACCACCGTACTTCATTCCAACCTCGGTTGTATAGTCCACTTTTTTGATTCGAACCTCATCCTTCAGGATTTTGATCTCACACCCACGACAAGTGGCCCGACCAGAAGAGGCGTACTCTACACAGAAGTCCTTCAGTGCCATACTCTGCTCGGCTGTACGCTTCTTGCCCTTACCCTTACCTTTTCCGGAAGTCGAGGGCAGCACCACAGATCCCAGAGCAGCTACAATAATTGATTAGCCACGCTCATCAACAAAAATACAAGACACAACTGTACTTACCGATTTTTTCCCGCAGCTTCTGCTGATCCTCATAGCGCAGCCCCTCGAAATGGGCAATGTCACCCTCGGTGGTCGGCCGGAGCTTCTGGAAGAAGCACTTATCATGATACCACTGGGCCTGCTTGCCATCGTGGAAGGCCGACTGGACCATCGCACCGAGCCGGAGTACATCTTTATTGATTTTGGTCTTACACAGCTTGCATGAGGCACGACTACTTTTGGCGTACTCGGCCACATACGGAAGATTCTGTGCATCCATTTATGACGAACGTTCTGACCACAATTCGACAAAATAATGCACCAAGCATCCAAACAAAACTAGCAGGAATTTGTCACGTATTACGCGAATTCGCTTTAATTGATCGACTGATGTACACGAAAGTACAGGAATGATTGAATGAAAATGGCACCACACTCTCAAGTTACTCTCCCATTCCCGTCTCGTTCTATTTCCTTCGAGATCGATTTGCTAGCGTGTGCGAGAGAGTGATGGCGCTCGTGCATTGTTTACATCCTATTTGCCACCGAAGTCAAATTCGAAATTTGGTTTGGCGCCAAAACTGCGAGATTTGTACGAAAGGTGGAAAATGAAATTTGCTTTCGCACGTTATTTAAAAATTATTTTAGGAGAATCCATCTAGATAGCTAACACGGTAACCGAAAAATACACAAGAATTACTATAACAGATTCACTCAAAAAATATTGAAATCTAAGGCTGTGAACCATTTGCCGAGTTAAATTTAACTCGTGGTTAAAAGTGACATTTCGAAAGTTATTTTCTATGTTCGAAAATCCCCGTGCTGTCGATCGACCGGTTTTCGAGCCACGGTTGTCAAAATTTAACTTCTTGTCTGTCAGAAATAACCATGCTCGGATAGCAGGGTTAATCGATACACACTTAGAAAATAATACCGAAGTCGGTTTAATTTTCTACCGAACTACATCGGTTACCAACAACGAACCGAAGAATTCGTGTAAAAATATGTTTTTAGGCGTATTTTCCGAGTCAAACCCAAATTTCGGTTAAATTTGACAGATAGGAATGAAGACTGAACCGAAAAGTACGGTAAAGTAGCGATATTTACCAGTTCGGTACTTGAAAACCGAGAAAACTCGGTAAACTGAACCGAATATTCGCTAAACTTTCTCAAACGTCAAACTCACAACTTCGGTTCAACTTCATGACGGAAATTTTAACCGAAACTCGGTTTTCAGCTAAACCAAATATCGTCAGCCATTTTTTCTCGCGGGTGCGCGTTGTGTTTTTTTTTCGCAAGACGTGTTTTTTCGTTAGTGTCACACGGTGAATTGATTTGAAAATGGAAAAACTTCTGGAGGAACTGCATGTTTGATTGAATTCCATGTAGGAGGCATTATCACGACGTGTGAGAAGTTTTTTGTTTCCCTCAAGGGGGTTAACCCTCTCTTTCCCCCCGCACAGGTGAGCCATAATTTTTCGGTTCGTCTCAAGTTTGTTGTCAATAGTTAGTACATACAAAGCATATTTATGCATGAAAACAACATCTGACAAATATAATATAAATCATGCATCTCATTAAAAAAAAACTAGTTTTATTTCTGATTCGAAACATCGTAAGTTTTTGGATTTGAGCGCTGTCAAAAAGAACCGAATTCCGTGATTGCAACCGGTGAGTCGGTTTGTTTGACAGCGTTCGGTAATACTTGGGTAAACCGATGTTCGGTTATTCCTGCTTGAATTGACTTTTTGTCAACCGAGTTTTTTCGGTTAGTTTGACAGGTTGTGGGAAAAGAAACTTTAACGATCACTCGGTTGTTTCTTTTTGAACCGAACAGACTACCGAGCGTTCAGCAGATAAAAACTCGGTTGAAATTGAACCGAGTTCGATACTATTTTCTAAGTGTGTAACTTTTCATCTGTCAAATTTTAACCAAAAGTTAAAATAATCCACCAAATGGTTCAGAGCCTAAATAGTATAAAAGTTACGCTAAATCGCAACTCTCCGTACCGACGCAAAGGTCGGTATAAATGGAGAGAATGCAAACTTAGTATAAAAATGGTTTATGCGTGCCATTGTATAAAATCGAAATATACTTACAATGTATAGATACGGTTTAATCGAGAGAATGTCTTTTTCGCTTCTTTATTTTATTTTTGGTAAATATTATTGTTTTCAAATAGAAATAAAAATTTTCTCAGGAAGGGTTTTTAATTATTTTATTTTTTATGAATATTATTTAAAAAATACTTACCATTTCGATGTTTATTAAGATGAACTCGTGCTCACGAGCTCACGCAGTCTAGCTGCCCAGCAGATCACAGGCGCAGTTGAAATCCGCCGGAACAAAGCTCTTCACAAGCGCGAAGCTGCGAAGAGAATCCAAATGTTATTTTTCCTGTCATTTTAGTAAACACTGATCGAATTCCACTCCGTTATTCGGACTTAGTATAATTTTGACGAAAATTTTAATCGAACCAATGTATAAATTTTGAAAAACCATAAAATGCATAAAATTTAATCTATATTCGTTTTGTAATATTTTTGAGTGTTCAATATTGTGTGTGGCAGGATAATTTCTCAAAATGGGATTAAACCACAGGCAAACAGACATAACACTCGCAAGTTGTTCATCGAACAAGCATTTAACGGTCAATTTAAAAGTTTAAAAGGTCAATTTAAAAATTTCACCGTGAAGTGACATCCGTAATTGGCGTCTTGTAGTGAAACTTTTCCAAGCTTTCGCCATCTACATTTCGAAGTGAGAACTACTAGAAGGAGGATACTTTCCAAAGTCTCCAAGTAAAACAGACGATTTTTGGGGCAAATCGGTCCATAAAGAAAAACTAATAATTTCGCGTGGAAACTTTTGCTCGAATCGTGTAAGAAAACGTGTTTGCAAACTAACTGTTATTATTTCGGTATGGATCGGAGATGTTTTCATGGAAAATTATGCATAATAAGTTTGCACCCACAGGAAGAGTTTACCTCCTGCGCAGCTGCATTTTTCGGAAAATGGTAAATAGGGGAAATGACGGCTTCGGCATGACAGACTATTTTCGGCAACACAAATTGAAACACTATTTTCACTGGATTTTCTTACGAAAACACTTCGCTGAATGCATGCAAACGATTCTTTATGCTTTCAGCTTCAATTTGACTATATTTTTACTACTTAGAAAAAGCAATCTAGCAAGGTTTTCTTGAAATGCAACACACGCACTACAAATTGTAGCTGATTTCGAGTTGCCGATAATAGAACAGCAGATTTACATGCAGTTCAAATGGAACGGTTGCCGAAGAAAAACTGGTTGCCGACAATACTCGCTCTTACTAGAGAAGATTGGAGCTTTGTAAAAGCGTTTCAAAACAGTTTTTGACAATTCTTTCGACTGAAATTGTTAGAGCAGCTGGCAGCACAAGATTGTAAACAAACCAATACTGCATATGTGTGCGTTCCTTAGAGAAAAAGGCTATAGAAAGAAGGTCGCTCCTTAGGTTGCCGAGAATACGTAAATTCCCCTATGTACGATTTCCACTAAGATGAAAATGGAAATTAAGTGAATTTATTTAGGAAAGATTGTATCATGCTGGTGATAATGAAGGAATGGCTGTTTATTCAATAAATGTTCATTTTGGCCTTTTTAGGCAAACATATATTGATACTAACAATTTTCGACGGAAAACGCAACGGAACTTGATTTACTCAACACACAACATGCTATAAAATGGTGCTAGATGGTTTTCAAAGTGATAAGAGGATGATAAATCATCTTTATTTTGAGTAATTGAGCAATTTACTTCTGTTTACATTATATTTACGATGCAGCGTTGATGGAGCCGTGAAATGAAATGAATATATCTTATGGAAGTTCATATGGAAAAGTCAAAGATACACGTCAGTCTGATCGTGAAAACGTTTTCTTCTTCACTTCGAATGTTATATTGGGAGGATTTTACGCAGGCTTGATAAAAATTAGGATTTAATGCTAATTTTCACGAATTTTATATGCAGTCCGTCAACGTTATCATCATCATGCAGCGGCGACATCTACACTGAGCTTTTACGGCAATCTTCCACATTTTTTTGCTGTGCAGTTGTCTCCTCTTCTTCTTAGGTCTGATCGACCGTGTCCTTTGAGTCATCATGAAATATTTCCATTAGGTTACCGTGTTTCACTTCCTACAGGAAGTATCCGCATAACTGGCAACTCTGTATGGAAAACAACATTAAATCCCATCAAACTTCAGTTTCGTAACACTAATCGCACGTTCTCACGGTTTTTTTCTTGCAAACATCAGAAAAAATAGAAAATTCTGATGTTCATAAGTTAAGAAACCGATCTAAAATGCTTACGCTAAATATTCGTCGCAATGTGCAACTCTTGCTTCGTGGAACTAGCGGCCGGCTGGCATATTCGACGAGGGCTCTAGCCAATCCCAACGAAGAATACTCGGACCAACCCCAGTACCCGGCTATCGAGGATCTTAGTTTCAAGTCCAAAAAGAAACGTGAGATTGCCCAATGGCACGAACGGATTCGTCTGTTAAGTTCCGTCGAGGAAAAGCTGTTCGAAATCAATATGCCCAAGTACTACGGCTACAAAGCGCACATGATAACGGACCAAAAGTTCCCCTACAATGTGCTACCGCTAGCACAGTACGCAACCAGGACACATCTTGTGGAGGAGCAGCTGCCGGAGACTTATGGACATTTAGAAGAGAGCGCAAAAAAGGTGCTGGAAGAAGTGCGCGGGGAGCTTGAGGATGTCATCGGGTTTGAGCTGGGTGGGTACAGGTAAGAGGTAATTGAAATTCAGCAAAACGAAATTTTTAATCCCTTTATTTTGCAGACGGTCACCTGAGGAATTATTACCCAAAGACCAGGAAGAAAAAATCACATCGTCGCTTTTGACCGGATTGAATCGTGTCTTGGTTAATAGTCTGTCTAACAAGTACAGTCATCTGAGTGAAGTTGAAACAGACTTTGATCCCCGGCACGAAGCCTTTTGGTTCCTTGGCGGTATTCCGCCGCCAGCCTTGGTAAAGAAAATAAAGGAAGGAGTGGAATGGCAGAAGCAGTACGCTAATGATCCTTACGATCGTAAGATTCAGTACGTTGGAAAGCCGTACCTTGCGCTGAGACATAAACATCCGCTGAATTCGTATGGGCACGACAACTTGGATGTTAACCAAGATAAGGTGGAGATTCCGGAATTTAGATACGATCCGATTACGTTGGGATATCGTACCGAGCAGCGTCATGCTACGACGATTCCTGGCTTCTGGCCTGGTGATCAGCATGAATTTGGATTGATTTCGTTCCAACGCAGAAGCCATGCTCAAATTCGTCCCACGTATTGCGCAGTCGATGACCTGCAGGAAGCTCTACATGCACAAGGTATCTTCTCCAGCTATGCATGGGCTTTTGGCCAGGCTTGCTATCAAGGATTCTCCACCTTCAATGATCTAACTTATCCACTCTCGACGCAAACCGTGATTACGGATGGGAAAAAGTGGTCTTTTTATGCGTATCAGTTGAACACTACTCTGGTGCACTCAGATCACGTTGACCTGAATCCGCGGTACAATCAGTGTTGGGGAACGAAAGAGCTCCAACTGTACGATCACGTTGATGAGAGCGGAAAAGTACACGGACTGAATGACGAAGTTCTGTTGCATTTGATTTCTTTCTACACGAATGTCCCACGGGCTCGTGAGGGTGTGGATCTGAAGCCCTACCTGTGCACGACGGAAACCCGAGTGGCGGACATATTGGACGAAAAGCGTCGAGTCTTCATGGAACAAACGTACAAACATGTTGTTTCTAACAGACCTCGTCACCGTCCGGAGCCGGAGCTTTATCAGTGGGAGAAGATCTACAAGGTAGATAATCCCACGCGTCCGATGGAACCCAAGCGAAGACCATTTGAGTTGGGTGAGAAAATGTACCAGCGAACAATGGATGAGCATGCCCTGAAGTATATTCCACGCAAGATCCGTCCGGATGGACCGAAGAGTAAACCCCGGTTCGAGGCAACCTACTACCCAAATGTAAGGCGATAGGAAGAATTGTGTCGCCGGTATTGTAGTTTTGGGAAAATAATTAAAATAACATTGTCAATAATTGACTTGTTCACTGTTCTCTTCGAAATGTGTCCTATTTGTTGTTGGTATGTTCTAGGAGTTGCTTGCTCAGTCAGGCCTATTCTGCGTGACGTGTGAGGTGAGGTGACACGCTGTCACTTGTGAAGTGACTCTCCATGCAAATCAAATGGAGCCATCTTATCCGAGGTCACAATTGTCACCTCACCTCATAAATGGACAGTCACTTCGCACGAGGAGACTCGCCGCACAAATTAGCGGGGGTTATTCCGAGAGTCGAAGTGACTTTTGTCACTAGTGAAGTGAGAAAAGTCACGTAGTGGTGACGTAACTCTCAATTTGATTTGCACAGAGAGTCACGTCACCACGACGTGACTTTTCTCACTTCACTAGTGATAAAAGTCACTTCGACTCTCAGAATAACCCCCAGCGTATTGAAAGCGATGCACATGACCTATGAGAAAAAGACGTGGAATTGAACATCTACCTGGTCCACCAAAAAATGGGGGTAACATGGGAAGCATTTGGCAAGCATTACATAGGGTTTGTTGTCGTTTTTTTTGTATTCGGCAAGATTGCTTTTCCGACCGACAAAGACTCCACCAGAAAAGTGCTCTATGGAAGCGTTTCTCAATCTATGGGTCGCGGAAATTCAGGCAACTTGGTCAGAAGCATATACATTTTCTCATACTCAAGCATACGAAAATTCGCTTCATTTTGCACACAACCAATCGATTCTATGACACTACCCCGAACGCCGTTACCCCGAATGGCCATTACCCCGAATACCCTACTACCCCAAATGGCCATAACCCCGAAATTAAGACAAATGGAAGAACAACATTTATTCAAAAGAAGGGTAAATTTTTAAGAAGAAAATTTTCCTTTGTTGTTTAAACTGAATACAAATGATAAAAATAAAAATTTAAAATTGATTTATGAAAATCAGTGATGCAAAAGTTCACTATGATTCGCGAGCTTTTTTTTTTTTTTTTTTTTTTTTTTTTTTTTTTTTTTTTTTATTTGTTCCAAATTCAAAATAAATTACATTTCATTTTAACCTAGGTGCTCCAGTTACTGCAGTAACGTACCAGCCTTAATTGTTATGATATATATCTAAGTGTTTTTACATTGTTCATGTCTTGGCAATTAAGTATTTTAAACAGGTTTTTTAACCTGCATGTCAGTATAACAATTGATATCTTAAAACTAAAAACTAAAACTAAATCTTATCTAAGTATAAAGGGAATTAATCGTTGCAATTGAGGATTGCAACGATTTTTGCCTGAAATTATTAATTATTTTGTTGGACATTTGTGCTAAAGTCTCAACATTCGAAATTCTATGTACTTCGGTTGTACTGTACCAGGGAGGCAACTTCAAAAACATTTTCAGAATTTTGTTCTGAATCCTTTGAAGTGCTTTTTTCCTGGTAGTGCAGCAACTAGACCATATTGGCACAGCGTAAAGCATGGCCGGTCTAAAAACTTGTTTAAATATTAGAAGTTTATTCGTCAGGCAAAGTTTGGATTTCCTGTTTATAAGAGGATACAAACATTTTATATATTTGTTACATTTGGCTTGAATGCCCTCAATGTGATCTTTAAAAGTTAATTTTTGGTCAAGTATTAATCCAAGATATTTCACTTGGTTTGACCAGGAAATTGGAACTCCGTTCATAGTGACTATGTGACTACTACTAGGTTTCAAAAACGAAGCTCTAGGCTTATGTGGAAATATTATAAGTTGAGTTTTGGAAGCGTTGGGAGAAATCTTCCATTTTTGTAAATAAGAAGAGAAAATATCTAAACTTTTCTGCAGTCTGCTGCAAATAACACGTAGATTTCTTCCTTTAGCGGAAATGCCTGTGTCATCAGCGAACAAAGATTTGTGGCAACCCTGAGGCAAATCAGGGAGGTCCGAAGTGAAAATGTTATACAATATAGGCCCAAGAATGCTACCCTGAGGAACTCCTGCCCTAACAGGTAGTCGATTAGATTTGGAATTTTGATAATTTACTTGAAGAGTTCTGTCAGTTAAATAATTTTGAACTAATTTCATAATATAAAGTGGAAAATTAAACTTTTTCAATTTAGCAATCAAACCTTCATGCCAAACACTGTCGAATGCTTTTTCTATGTCTAGAAGAGCAACTCCAGTTGAGTGGCCTTCAGATTTGTTTGAACGAATTAAATTGTTAACTCTTAAGAGTTGATGAGTAGTTGAATGCCCATGGCGAAATCCAAACTGCTCATCTGCAAAAATTGAGTTCGTATTGATGTGAAGCATCATTCTATTCAAAATTATCTTTTCAAAAAGTTTACTTATTGAAGAAAGCAAACTTATTGGACGGTAGCTAGAAGCTTCAGCTGGATTTTTATCCGGTTTCAAAATTGGAACAACTTTTGCATTTTTCCATTTATCAGGAAAGTATGCCAAATGGAAACATCTGTTAAATAATTTTACCAAGAAAGACAAGGTACTCTCTGGGAGTTTTTTGATGAGGATATAGAAAATTCCATCATCACCTGGAGCTTTCATATTTTGAAATTTTTTAGTTATAGACCTTACTTCGTCCAAATCAGTCCCCCAGGAATCATCAAAAATATTTTCCCGAGAGAAAATATTCAGAAAATCCCGAGCAACCTGATTCTCAATAGGACTAGTAAGACCCAAACTGAAATTATGGGAACTCTCGAATTGCTTAGCAAGTTTCTGAGCTTTTTCCAAATTTGTGATCAAAATTTTACCACCTTCTTTAAACGCTGGAATAGGCTTTTGAGGTTTTTTCAAAATTTTTGTGAGTTTCCAAAAGGGTTTGGAACTCGGGTCTAATTTAGAAATATTATTTTCAAAAGTTTTGTTCCTCAAGGCAGAGAATCGCTTTTTAATTTGTTTTTGCAAATCCCGCCAGATAACTTTCATGGCAGGATCGCGTGTTCTTTGATATTGTCTCCTACGGACATTTTTAAGACGGATCAAGAGCTGAAGATCATCGTCTATTATAATTGAATCGAATTTAACCTCGCATTTTGGTACTGAGGCAGCTCTTGCTTCAACTATAGAAGTAGTCAGAGATTCAAGAGCATAATTAATTTCATCTTTGGTTTGCAAAGGAATGTTTGGATCGAAGTTATATTCCATAAATGTTCGATACTGCTCCCAATCAGCTCTATGGTAATTGAAAGTAGAGCTGTTGGGATTAGAAATTATTTCTTGGGATATTTCAAAAGTTACTGGAAGGTGATCAGAACCGAAGTCAGCATGGGTAACCAATTGGCTACAAAGTTGACATGAATCAGTTAAGACCAAATCAATAGTGGAGGGATTTCTTGCAGAAGAAAAGCATGTTGGGCTGTTTGGATATTGAATAGTGTAATAACCTGCAGAACAATCATCAAACAGAATATTACCATTGGAATTGCTTTGAGCATTATTCCATGAGCGGTGTTTTGCATTAAAATCACCAATAATGAAGAATTTAGACCTATGACGGGTAAGTTTCTGGAGGTCACCCTTGAGAAAATTCTTTTGCTGGCCTACGCATTGGAATGGCAAATAGGCAGCTATAAACGTAAGTTGTCCAAATTTTGTTTCAACAGAAACTCCCAAAGTTTCAAAAACTTTGGTTTCAAATGAAGAAAGAATTTTATGTTTGATTCGTCTATGAATAATGATGGCAACGCCACCACAGGGTCCATCAAGACGATCATTTCTATAAATCAAGTAATTTGCGTCCTTCTTAACCTTATGGGCAGGTTTAAGGAACGTTTCAGTTATAACGGCAATATGCACGTTATGAACTCTCAAAAAGTTAAATAGCTCGTCTTCATTATCTTTAAGAGATCGAGCATTCCAATTTACAATATTTAATGCTTTAAAATCCATTACTGAATTTTAAAGTCATGACAATATTATTTGCAAATTTTACTCCAGTTTGAATAGCATCAAACATGGAGTTAGATTTAAGCATATCAGAAATCATGTCAATTAATGAATTCTGTAAAAATTCCATTTTGGGGGCAGTAATGCTTCCTAAGTCAAAATTGTCAAAATTTCCGTTAGAACGGTGGTTAGTATTTTGATTTCTACCCGCTGCAATAGCAGCATAGGTAGCTCCATTAACTCGCTGAACATTGTTAGCAGCGAGGGGAGTAGGTACAGATGAAACATTTGAAGCAGGGGAGATATTTGTACCTACGGGTACGAATGTAGAATTTGTTCCTCGCTGACCGTTGTTAACAGCAGAGGAATTTGTACCTGGTCGGAAACGTGGAGCGTTTCCTACCTGACGGTTAGAACGAGATTGTAGGATCGCTTTGCGAGTCTTACATTCCCAAAAATTGGATTTGTGGTTTTCACCACAATTTGAACATTTAAATTTCTTAGGATCTTCCTTCACAGGACAGTCGTCCTTTGCGTGAGAGGAATCACCACAATTCATGCATTTAGCAGGCATGTAGCAATTTTTAGTTCCGTGACCCCATCTCTGGCACTTACGGCACTGGGTGAGGTTTTGGAAATTTCCTCCAGTCTTCCTGAAGTGTTCCCACTTCACTCGGACATGGAGCATAAGGCTAGCTTTTTCTAAGGCCTTAAGGTTGTTTAGTTCACTAGACTTGAAGTGAACTAAATAAAAATCATTAGAAATCCCGTTGCGCGAATCGCCAGGACGGGATTTCATTTTCATTTTGATTACTTGGAGTGGCACAACTCCAAGTAATTTTGCCAGTTCATCTTTGATCTGATCCAGGGATTCACCACTGGGCAGTCCTTTCATGACAACCTTGAACACACGTTCAGTTTTGGTGTCGTAAGTAAAAAAATTGTGCTTCTTCTCAGTAAGATACTTGAGAAGACATTTAAATCCGTCCAAGGTTTCAGCCAATACACGGCATTCACCCCGACGTCCAATTTGTAGTGAAAACTTAACTTTCACGAAATTCAAAAGTTCCATGCGAAGAGCATGGAAATCGGTAGTGGTTA